CCCCAGCTCAGGGTGACACAGGGACCGGTGTCCTGCTGCCTGAGCAATGCCCATGCTGGGTGTGAGCCTGTCTGCCCCTGCCGGGCTCTGTGCCCCGCTGAGGAGGAGGAGGATGAAGGCTGGGCTTCCTTAGTGCAAGACCAGATTTCTCCACGTGTCCCAAAGGTGCTGGCTTCCCTCGGGTGTGGGGACACGGACCCGCAGGGTGGTGGCAGCTCCTCTGTCTGTGGGGTGCCCGCACCCCAGGGCCCATCTGCCCCATGTGCACCCAGCCAGTGCTGAGGCGAGGGGATGGGTGGTCCACCAGGATGGATGGCCGCCTGTGGGCAGAGCCTGCCCGCGCCGGCTTCGCCCCACAGCTGTGTCCGAACCCAGTTCTGTGACCCACTGGTGACTGTGCTGTCCTCCCGCAGCTTCCTCCTGACGGCGGTGGCCCTGCTCTCCAGCTACTCCATCCATCTGCTGCTCAAGTCCTCCGGCATCGTGGGTGAGTGCCGGGTCCCCGGCGGGGCCATGCCGGGGGGTCCCCTCCTGACCCTCACCCTGCCACCGCTCCCGGGAGAGATGGGGGGGATGAGGGCAGGGGACCGAACCGGAGCACAGAGGCACAGCACGACCTTGCTATGCCCCGCAGCCATGTCCAGCTACCTGTACATCGTCAAATCCGAAGTGCCTCTCGTCATCCAGACCTTCCTCAACCTGGAGGAGAAGACCACGTGAGTGCCTCCTGCCCGCGCTGCCTGCGTGCCTTCCCCAGGCAGACGCTGGGGCTTCATCTCCAGCTGTGCAACCCATGGCAGGGATTTAGTGCCATTAAGCCACTACTATTTTTGATAACTGTCAGTGCTGAATAAGCCCCCGGGTGGGATTAAACTGGGCTGAACTTCCAATCCCCGCTCCTCACATCCCCTTGGGATCACGCTTTCCTCCTTGAGCGGAGCCCGGGGGCTGCGGGGGGGTGGTGGTCCCTCCCCCCCGCCGTGCCCACATCCCCACCTGGCAGCACAGGGGGGGTGAGAGCCTGGCAGATGCTGGGCAGAGCTGCCACTGGGACCTCCACCAGTCCGGGACTTCCAGCCAGGCTCGACCCTGACTGCGCTGGGGTGCTCGACCATGGGTGGTCGGGGGCAGCTCCCTCTTCCCGGGCTGTCGAGGACCTGGCTGAGCCCTCCCGCAGATGGTGGGACCTTGGGCTGCCCACGGGCAAACGTGTGCCGAGAACAGCCGTTCTCAGCCTGCCCACAGCAGCTCCAGCCCTGGGGGGTGCGCCACTATGGGGGTAGGCAGGACCCCAGCTCAAGGGTCCCCGGGGATGCTGGCCACAGGGGTCCCCAGGGATGACACCTCAGGGGTCCCCGAGGATGCTAGCGCAGCAGGGATGCCAATGTCCCTGGGGATGCCAGCTCAGGGGTCCATGGATACCAGCTCTGGGGTCCCCATGGATGGCAGACAGCCCTCCCCGCCTCCCTGATGGCTGTCTGCGCCTCTCGGGCACCAGCAGAGCGGGGCGGTGAGCAGGCCCTCTGCTTCCAGGGACTGGTATATGAACGGGAACTACCTGGTGATCCTGGTTTCCGTCACCATTATCCTGCCCCTGGCCCTCATGAAGCAGCTGGGTAAGTCCGGGGGATGGTGCGTGCAGCAGCGGGGTCCAGCACCCTGGGGCTCCCGCCGGGTGATGGTGCCAGCCTGGGGGTGGTGGGCAAGGAGGGGACAGCCAGCCAGCGTGGGGGTCCTGCCTGCGCCCACTGGTCACTCTCCTCCCTCCTCAGGCTGCCTCGGCTACGCCAGCGGCTTCTCCCTCAGCTGTATGGTCTTCTTCCTCATCTCGGTGAGCACCTCCTGGCACGTGACGGTGGCCCGGGATGCCGAGCATCCCTTCTGCCGGGGTGTGTGGCTCTACCGGCGGCGTGTGACCGGGCTTCGTGCCGTGGTGACAGCGTGAACAACGGGGACAGCGGGCGCTCCGGGCTGCGGAGATGCCGTGGGGGTGCTGTCACACTGCTGGGTTCTTTTTGGTTGAAGGAGCCGAGCGCTGGGGAAAGGGGATGGCAGAGGGTGCCGAGGGCAGGACTGTGCGTGCGGCTCCTCCACGTGCTGCTGCCCCGCTCTGCCCCGCTGCCCACCCTCACAGGGGCACCCGGGGGGTCGGCGTCACCACGGGGCACCGCCGGCAAAGGGTGCCCCATAGAGAGGTCCCTGAAGGAGCACCTTCATGTCAGGTTGGGTGGCCGGTGCTGGGGGGTGGTGGTGTTGGGCGCTGACCATCCCTGTGCCCACCCTGCCCAGGTCATCTATAAGAAGTTCCAGATCCCCTGCCCGCTCCCGGAGCAGGAGGGGAACCTCACGGGTAGCCTCAATGCCACCTCTGTCAGCACCAGTGACTACCAGAATGGCTACACCGTCCTCCAGGCGCCTGACCAGGGCACCTGCACACCCAGCTTCTTCACCCTGAACTCCCAGGTAAGGGACCTGGGGTGTACCTGGGGTTCCGGGTGAGCTCCCACCCCGTGTACCCCATGAAGGCGGGTGGTCCTGGTGCTGGCAGCACCCTTCGGCTTGGCCCCTGGTGCTCAGCCGCCCTCCTCTCCCGCAGACGGCGTACACCATCCCCATCATGGCCTTCGCCTTCGTCTGCCACCCCGAGGTCCTGCCCATCTACACCGAGCTGAAGGAGTGAGTCCTGGGTGGGGGCACCCACGGGGAGGGGTAGGCTTCGTCCAGCGCCAACCCAAACGCAGTGCCAGCCGGGTGTGGGACCTGCGCCGGGGCATCGTGGGGAGGTGGGTGATAAGACCTGGGATGGGTGATACCAGTCCCAGGAGGTGGGTGATACAGCCTGGGGTGGGTGGGTGGTGGGTGATACCACCCCCGGGAGATGGGTGACATAACTCTGGGAGGGGAGTGAGTGGCCGGTTGGTGTTGGGTGATGTCACCCCTGGGAGGTGGGTGGTACAACTTGGGATGGGTGGTGGGTGGAACGACCTCTGGAAGGTGGGTGTGATGACCAAGGGTGGGTGGGTGGTTGGTGGTGGGCGATCTGACCCATCGCACAGCCCAGGAAGGGGAACTCAACCCCTCTCCGCACAGCTCCTGTGCACCCCAAGGTGCTGCGGCATCACCCCGCCTTGCTGGGTGGGTGCTCGGTGCCAGTGGGTACCACGGGGTGGGCTGGGCCACGGGGGTCATGCTAAGCCCACCCTTTCCCACAGCCCCTCCAAGAAGAAGATGCAGTGCATCTCCAACATCTCCATCATGGTCATGTACCTCATGTACTTTTTGGCCGCTCTCTTCGGCTACCTCACGTTCTACGGTGAGCCCTCGGGGAGGGGACCGGGGACCCTGCCGGCACGCTGGCACCGGGGAGGTGGCGGTGCTGGGGCTCACCCAGCATCTCCCCACCGGTGCCTGCAGGGCGGGTAGAGTCGGAGCTGCTGCACACCTACAACAAGGTGGACCCCTTCGACGTGCTCATCCTGTGCGTGCGGGTGGCCGTGCTGACGGCCGTCACCCTCACCGTCCCCATCGTCCTCTTCCCGGTGAGTGGACCCATGGGGATGCCAGGTGGCACCGCCACCCCCCAGCTGAAACAGGACCTCAGTGTCAGGATTTGAGAGGGGAAACTGAGGCAGCGATGGGGCTGAGGCCCAGGGGCAGGGTGGCCGAGATCAGGGATTGGGATATGGGATCGGCTGAGTGTCAGGAACAGGGCTGGGGCAGGGGAAGGGCTGATGGGGACCAGCAGAGTCATTGGGACTGGGTTGGGAAGGGGTGACAGTGACGAGTCGTGCCATGGGGACAGGACAGGGGTGGAGGCAGGGATGACGGGGACTGGTGGTGCCATGGGGACAGGGCTGGGGCAGGGGCAGGGGTGATGGAGACCGCTGGTGCCGTGGGGACAGAGCTGGGGCAGGAGCAGGGGTGATGGCGACCAGCAGAGCTGTGGAGATGGGGTTCGGAAGGGATGATGGGGACCATCACAACTGCAGGGACAGAGGATGGGATGGGTCCTGGGTCCAAGGATGGAGTGTGACACCCTGTCTCTGTCCCTGTCCCCAGGTGCGCCGGGCCATCCAGCAGATGCTGTTCCAAGGGAAGGACTTTAGCTGGATCCGCCACGTTACCATCGCTGTGGTCCTGCTGACCTTCATCAACCTCTTGGTCATCTTCGCCCCCTCCATCCTTGGCATCTTCGGCATGATCGGTGTGTGGCAGCGCCCCGCTCCTGTCCCCCGTTGGGCGCCGGGCATCGTGGGCAGCACACCAGCCCCTGCCTGGCGCTGGGCTTTGCCTGACCGCCCCCTGTTCCTCGGTTTCCCCTTCTCACCGTGGCGGGACCAGGGGGCGAGG